AAGGAAGGAAGGAAGGAAGAGAGGGAGAGATGACAACCACAACATTTCAGTCTAGACACCATTTGAGCTTCTTTACCCACACAACCTTTTGTATCATAAAAAAATAGATATCATACAAACGAACCTTTAGTTCTTTTTCTGCAACCTTGTAGGCTAACTCTACAACACAACCCACTGCCATCCTAGCAGCATTAGCACTATGTATCTCGTTCCAAATAGTATCACCGTCAACCTGTAATAAATAGTCACTATAAGTCATGCACGTCAACAAAGGAGATCAACCTATACACAACCCACATATAATAGGAGATACCTACCCCCATCCCTCCACAGGGTAAGGTATTGAAACACTTGAGGGTGGTTATGGTCCCGTCTTCTGCTTTGGTTCTACACTGAGTACTGCCACCATACAGCATGGTATGTTGTTCACTGTTATCAAGAACAAAAAAAAAATGATTAAAATGTAAAAGGGAGGAGCACGTGCGCTTCTATTGCACCTTCTCCCGCACGTTGATCGTGGGTTAAATAACTGGACCTTCAGTTCATCGAACCCTTTAACATCCTCTGGTACGGCTAGATCTAAGAACGTGTTGGATTAAGCCTACCCGTAATCAAACACGAGTAGAGTCGATTCTCTCCTATGCTTCTAGGGTGTTCTCCGGTTTTCCTCCGTCCCCAAAAATCAATACTTTCAAGTTCAAATTCTATCATCGAAGAAAGTCCCCAGGGTTTGTTAGCCACAGACTATTGAAAGTTACGCTTGTCGAACGAGGACGATTAAGTAATAGAGAGAGACCAACCTGTGGACGGTAAGGATCTCTGCAAGTGTTGCCTTCCTGGGTCGTACACGCTGATGATAAATATTACAGGTCGTGAGTTTTTATAGAAAACTGAATATTGTTATCAAAAAAAAAAAAGGTTTTAGTAACTCTACCATACCCCTTACACTTACTTCGCATATGTTTGTTACACCAGTCTCTTGAAGACGTGCCCAAATGCTCTGTAAACGGCCGGGGTGTTCTGGATGAGAGCTGGTATCACCACAAGAGCATTGATGCTTTAGCATAAGTGTGTCATATACTATTCCCGTACGGGTAGTCGGTGTTGCTGCCTGGCCGCTTCCTGGAAAACACGTAAACATGACACTAAATATGCGCAAAAAGCTACGAAAAAAAAACCTGGCAAAGAACCTGAAGATCTGGAAACAACACTGTGCATCGTTGCCGACGATGATACAAGAAATAGTAAACTACACGACGTTTCTACCAATGCAACTTTTGCGTGCCGTGTTTCGGCAACGTAGAACGTAGACCTACTTCCATCTTTTGAGCGCGCGCCAAAAAATAAATAAATAAATAAATAAATAAATTTCGAATACGTCGCTAGCTACAGCCGCAGTTAAGGAAATGCTAAAATGCTTTCATATTTGGTTCAGGTTTTTGTCCAAACGGTTGTTGTAAAATTATACGGCGACTTGATCTACACAGAAATATCAAGAATGCTCTAAAATTGCTCTCCCCTTTTTTCTCCGATTTTCTAAACATAGCAAGCTTACTTTTTTAACGCTGCCGGAAAAGTAAAAGAGAGAATAAGATACATACCGACTGCAGGTAGAGAAATAGCTCTAGCCAAGGGTCTGTGTCCTATAGAAGCACTAGGAGAGGCAGAAGCAGCGGATGGTGCAGCCTGTACTTCAGCTTGACGCAGCTGTAGAAGCTGCTGATGTTGAAGTAGCTGTTGCTGCAGCATTCCTCTCTGGTGAGGGTCTTGCCGCTGAAACTGCTGTACTAACAAAAGCTCTTGAATCTGTTGCTCATTCAAGGGTCTTGATGTTGGAAGGTCTTCAGTGGTTCTTGCTGCTTGTGCTAGCTGTTGTTCTTTCTTGTGCTGCTGGTAAGCCTTTTCTTTTAGAACCGCTTGTTCCTGTTCTTTCTGGAACTGTAGCATTTCTAAGTGATCCTTCAAGGTACCACGGGGTTCTTTTTCTGGCTGTGGAACTTTAGGAAAGTTCTGCTTACCTAGCTGCTGCATCAGAAGATCTTGCTGTAGCTGTTTTAGGTAGAGCGATTGACTTTGCTGGAGCCTCTGTTGCTGTAAGAACTGTAAGTGCTGTTGTTGTTGCAGAAGCTCTTGATTTTGTTTTAATATCTGCTGCTGCTGAAGCTGGGGATTGTTCGATATGGAGTACCCAGGTGCTGAAAGAGTGAGCCTAAGAGGACGGTGATGCAGAGACGATGCTTGTGAAGTTGGTGACAGAGTTGATTTAGGAATGGAAAGAAGGTTGTTTTGAGATGGTGGTGATCCCCTTCCCGTTAACGAGGGGTGCTGTCCACGGCTGAGAAGTGAGTTCGAATTGTGTACATGGCCACCAGATAGCCCCAGCATTTTACTCTGAGCCTTTGCCAGTGCAAGATTTTTGAACTGGACTTGTTTCAAAGCAGCAGCGTTAAGACTACTATCATCATCTTCTTCCATGCTGTCGTACAGCGCGTCATTAGCATACGGACTTTGAAATTCAGCGTCATTACTGATGCCTTGACTTGCAAGACTTGCGTGATTGAGGAAATGATATCGATTGGCCAAGAGTTTACTGATATGTGAACGGTCTATATTGGCTGATAGTCGTGGAATAGCTTGGAGGTTAGGAAGACTGTGCCCAAAGGTAGATCCAGGTGCTCCCAATGGAGAAGAACGCTGTTACAAAAATAAAAGGAAAGTTAAATTTTCTCAGCAGTAATCGCCACTAATAATAGCGCTGCGCTGGGTAGGCTTGATGCTATGGGCGTAGGAAACGATAGGTTGTAAAATTGTGGAAAAATAAAAATTGAAAAAAAAGAGAGAGTAAACAAATAAGGAAAATGGCGACAGATAGGCAAAAGTCCAAGTGAAAAATAAAGAAAATATTTTCTATTGTCTACCAAAAGCTCGTATTTTCTACTCATACAAGGAACTTCCATATAAGAGCTCCAGCCGCGCTTTCAAGAAAATATTTTCTATCGTTACCAAAAGCTCGTGTTTTCTACTCATACAAGGAGCTTCCATATAAGAGCTACAGCCGGCCGCGCTTTTATTGTATGCTACTATTACCTAAATAATCTGACCTAATCTTATATGAATCCTATAAGAATAAAGATTAAGTCTATAAGTGCGTTAATCTTTTTTGTGCTGTATCTAAGTAATCTACAGTGGCAAGTCTTAACGACCGGAATGTTTTCGTGCGCCGGTCTTTTTGAATTGGAGGCTCGCGCCTTCTAGAACAAACCACATAAGCTGAATATCTCCCAAACATCTCTAATTCCAAGCAATCTATTTTCAGTTTTTATCTTTTATCATAACTACCGCTCATACCCGTCTTTGGGTACTTTCTAGAAAAAAGACATTTTGAATACTAATTTTTATCACTTCCCTCTATCTCAACATTAAAAAAAAGTTTTTATCGCATATTCCTGCATGTCGTTTGGTCTCGCGCTGTGTGCGTAAAATCTTTTATGTTTTTGTAACTTGTAAAAGTGAATAAGAGGGTCAGTCAAAAAACAGTCTTTTTACAAGCTCTTACAAGCAGGTCTTACAAGAAGGTCTTACAAGGAGCTCTTACAAGGAGGTCTTACAAGGAGATCTTACAAGGAGGTCTCACAAGAAGGTCTTACAAGCAGGTCTTACAAGGAGGTCTTACAAGGAGGTCATTTGCTGGTCGCACTAGCACGTTAGGGTTAATGCATATAGCTACTGGTAGTGCACGCGCTTTTTCTTCAAAGACCAAATATACCAGCAACATGAAGTGTACCATGTTATCAACATGAAAACAAATCCTACAAAACAAATGAATTCATTCCACCTTAGGAGATTCGAACAAACAAGTTAAAGAAAACAAACCTCTCTTCCTGGAGAAGCTGACACTGATTGAGTAGGAGAACCTGGATTAGAACGATCTGCATTTTCATTTCCTGTTGTCTCCACTAAAATAACATGAAAACAAACAAATTACTAATGTAAAAATAACCAGCTCCCTGCCATACGTCGTGCATATTTAATTGTGTGCTTAGATAGAGGGGATTTCATGTCTGAAGAGTTAAAATCCTATTAATTATGGTACCCGTTCGGTTTGCCATTCAAATCGCGCGACAAAATTGCTGATGGGTCTTTTTGGTACCGTTTGCGAACAAGCACACGGTACGACATAAACACTACCAACACTCAAATAACTTTAATTAAACAAATATGTACTACAGCCGTACATACAGATGTAAAAATAATTATCGATGAAATACAATTTTAGTGGATTTTTACTATTTAGTACGATTCAATGGTGTTATTTTCACACGTGAAGATATCATTTTTTATTAACAGAGAAAAAAAGAAAATTCATATATGGTATATTTCCATATACACTATTTCATATATATTTTTAAAAAGTGTAAGCATAGCCACGAGAGTACTGTATTTTGTAACTCATGTTCTTTCTAAAACTAAAGTTATTTCCTTTGGTTGTTTCTTACTTACACGTCATACTTCTGTGCAACTTATTTCCATTTCTATGTGGCCTGTGTAGTAGAGGGCTGCCTATCGTCCTGTGTTCGGCCACTTTAGCCTTCAGGCGAGACTTGACTTTCAGGTTTGGCTCAGAAGCTGTTAAGAAAAAAACATAGTATATATGATAAGAAAAAAGTGTACCTTTAATTTCATATATATTTTGATTGCAGGCAAGTAGACACAACACGTTACTTCTCGCTTTTTTTTATATATAGAACCTTTAGTATTTGTCGACTTTTTCTGTGTAAATAAAAACGATACACCGGTACCAAATCTGTCTAGCAAATGTTCCCTTCGTTTTAAAAAAATAAAGTTACGTCCATATTAATATTTTTTCTAAAACTTTTTTGAAAATTATTTTTTGCTTTCAATTAAACACCGAGGCAGGTGCCAAATTTGGCACTTAAAAGAACTAGTCTTTAAAGTATTTTGTCTTTTAGTATTTGAAAATTCCAAAAATCATCAAGCCACGTTAGTGATATTCTTATTTTCTTACCTGTTTTTCTCAAAGGAAAATGGTTTGCATCAAGATGAGATCCCAGAGGACCAAGATCGTCACCTTCCTTGTCCATGTTTTGACTCCTGCAACAACAATTAGCTATTTTCTGAAATATGAACAATATTCCACACTCCCCCTTTCGGAACCCTATAGGAGGTCCAGAAGAATTTCCTTGTGTCTTTTCATGATTAAATAAACTACAGTACTACAGGACTTCATGATGACATTTTTCCAGTGTCTTACTATAGCTTTCATCTACCAAATTCTAGGAATATAGTTAATGATGGATGGGAACCAAAAACCCAGATGTCAAAGAAACATGAAACAGCTCTAGCAATTTGAAAATGATTAAAGCACACAGTATGTTGCTCAATTCATCTGAACTTCCATAATTTGTTTGCATTATTTCAAAGAAGTGGACACCTTTCCCAAATTCCCTAGAATGACCATGAAAACAAAACCAAACCTCGTTGTCCAAGTTGGAATAATCATGTTATTGCTAATCACCACTGTAAGTACAGCAAAGCCAAAGTCGAACTGATGGTATTCAATATGTTCATGTATATAGGAGCAATGCTCTAACCAGTTTGAATAAGTTAGGATTGATTCTGAGAGGAGAAATAGACGTTCTTAACAACAACTTGATACTATTGTTTTATGGTCATAAAGTGAATCTAGGAAAGGTCTTTTCTGAACCACCATGTTTAAAGTCTTACCAGTGTTTGAAGGCAGAGTCATTGGTAAGGGATGCTACTGCTAACTCTCTCTGTTGCTTATTTAATACAAAAGTTTGCAACTTTTTCTTGACTGCACTGGATGTCACTTGAATAAACAGAATATAACAATTATTATGGCGTATTTGTCACATATTAGCTAAAGATCATCATCACAACAGTCATTACTACCACCATCACAACTACCATCACCATTGCCATGAAAACTACCATCTCACCATAATTACTACCACCATCACTAAAACCATCATTGTCGCCATGATCACCATCATGACTATTACCATCATCATTACAAACACCATCAAAATTACCATCTCACCATAATTACTACCACCATCACTAAAACCACCTTTGTCGCCATGATCACCATCATGACTATTACCATCATCATTACAAACACCATCAAAATTACCATCACACCATAATTACTACCACCATCACTAAAACCACCTTTGTTGCCATGATCACCATCATGACTATTACCATCATCATTACAAACACCATCAAAATTA